GCCGCCGCCGCCGCCGCCATCTTGTCTCCCTCGCCTTACCTGCGTCCTCGGGGGCGTGCTCACCGCCCCCCTCCCGCCGAGGAGGGGGGAGGGCCCCCTCTGGGTCGCCGCCTTCCCCGCCTCGAATTCCCCTCAGGGCCGCCGTGAGAGCCACCCCCGGGCTCGCGCCGCTCCGAGTCACGCCGCGGAGGGGCGATCGGTCGGTTGGGGAAAAAGCAGAGCCGCGACTCCCGGCGACCCCGCCGCCGCTGCCGCCGCCGCTCCCGAGGCCTCACCAAAATGGCCGCCGCCTTCTCGGCCGCCACCGCCACTACCACCACCACCACCACCAAGGCTCGTTATCGCTACCGCCGGAGCGGCCCGTCCTCTCGCGATACACAGTAACTGGAGGCTGGAGGGGCGGGTAGGTTCGCGTGCTACCGTAGGGCTCTTGTCTGGAGCGCAAAGCAAGATGGGAGATGTAGTCTGCTCCCAGGTTCCAGGCTCGCCCAGCAAGCACGCCTCGGCGGATCCGAAACCACGGAAACGCGTGGTGCGAGTGGGAACAACCTTTGGGTTTGGTTTTTTTTTTTATTTTTATTTTTGCAGATTAGTCAGTGACATGAAACAAATTAGTTGTGGAGTTGGGCCTCCAGTCGCGCTTTTTTTTTTTTTTTTTTTAAAGACAAGGTCTCACCATTTAGCAGTGGTTGACCTGGATTCGCTATTGTAGATCCAGCTAACCTTAAACTCAAGAGCAAGAGATGCTCCTGCCTCAGCCTAGGACCAACGGTATGCGCCACCACTACCAGCTGTAGTCTACTTTGTAGCAGTGATTTCCCAAGATGTAGCCTCCAAACATCTGTGCCATTGGTTTGCAGGTTTCCCACATTAAGAACCCCTTTGAAAGGCTGAGAAGATAGCTCAGGAACTAAGAATATTGGCTGCTGCTTCTTACAGAGGACCAAGGTTCAATTTCCAGCACTCATATTCCAGAAGTTCATAAACATCTGTAACTCCAGTTCCAGGGAATCAGACACCCTCTTCTGGCCTCAGAGAGCACTGCACAAACATGGTGCACAGACATACATGCAGGTAAAACGCCCGTACACATCAAATAAAAATCCTTAAAAAAAAAAAAATGCCTTTGAGAATCTGATACTCCTTCTCCATCTTAAGGACCTGTTTATTGTCAACAAGAGTTCCAAGAAAGATCTTGAGCCCTTGATTACATAGGAAGACCCTGCCCCAAAACATAACTAATAATTAAGAAAGCTTGTGGGATAAAAATAAAAATAAATCGAAGACGGACTTCGGAGAAGCCATTGTGGACAGTGGGGAAATGACAGTTGAATAGAGACTGGAAGAAAGATTCTTCACAGCTAGGTGTGGTGGTATATACCTATAATCCAGGCACTTACTGGTAGAGGCTACCCTGGGCTGTTGCATACTTGGTACACACACACACACACACACACACACGTTAATATTCTAAAGTTCAAGATTATCCTGTCTTAAAAGACATGTATATAGTCTTGTAGTAAGTATGTGTCTGCTTTTTTTCAATTTAGGACTTTGTAAAAAGTTCAGTGTGTGTGTGTGTGTGTGTGTGTGTGTGTGTGTGTGTGTGTGTGTGTGTGTTAGTTAGTTAGTTAGTTAGTTTGTGTGTTACATAATTAGAACACAGGGCTGGAGAGATGGTTCAGTGGTTAAGACTGGCTGTTCTTCCAGAGGACCAGGGTTTGATTCCTATCACCCAAATGGAAGCTCCTAACAGTATCGTATCGTAACTTTAGTCTTAGATCTAACACCTTCTTCTGATGCACAGACATAACGTTCAGGAAAATACTCATAAAATAAAATAAAATCTCAAAATTAAAGTCTAATATGAATTATCAGCAAAAACCTTCCCCACATTGTGTCAGTGTCAGTTTGAGTCCCTTATATTTAAATGACACCATACTGTATATTGTTTTATACTTTGCCTTTTCAGACTTGATATATATAATATCTGGAAATATATTAATAGATAATGGGGCTAGGTGTGGCATTCACCTTTAATCCCAACACTCAAGAGGCACTGGCAGGGCAAATCTCTGAATACAAAGCCAACCTTGTTTACATAGCAAGACCCACACACACACACAAAAGAAAGAAAGAGGAGATAATGTAGGTAATAGAAAAGAGATGGTTCAGTTAACTACTGAACTACTCTTAACTAGAGCACTGGCTCAGGCTAGAGGACCTGAACTCGGTTCCTAGGACCAAGAGAGCTTGCAAACATTTTTAACCTCTTCTGGCCCTGTCACTAAAAGCACAAGGTGTATACACACACACACACAAATCCACAAATTACACATACACATTTTAAAAATCTTTTAATAATTTTTTAAAATTCTGGGTGTGGTGATAACGTTAATCCCAAACATTCAAGAGGCAGAAGCAGGGAAATATAGATATCAAGGCCAGTCTGGTCCACATAGTGAGTTCTTTGTTTTAAAAAGACCACACACCTGCCTTCAAACTTCAAAACTTCAAATAACTTCAAAAAAGAGGCTGGAAATATTGCTCAGTACTCAAGAGCACTTGTTCTTACAGAGGGCCTGGGTTCAATTCCATGCATCCACATGATGACTAATGCCATTCATAATTCCAGTTCTTGGGGATCCAAAGCCCTTTTCTGACTTCCTCTGGCACCAAGAATGCACATGGTGCACATACATACATGCAGGCAAAACATTCATAGTCATAAAAATAAACTTTTAGCTGGGCGGTAGTGGCGGACGCCTGTAATCCCAGCACTCGGGAGGCAGAGGCAGGTGGATCTCTGTGAGTTCGAGACCAGCCTGCTCTGCAGAGCTAGTCCAGGACAGGCTCCAAAGCTACAGAGAACCCCTGTCTCGAAAAACCTAAAAAATAAATAAGTTTTTAAAAATTGAAGGACTGGAGAAATGGTGTAGTTAAGAGCACTAGCTGCTCTTCCACAGGACCCGGGTTCAATTCTCAGCACCCACACCACAGGTCACAACTGTAACTGTGAGATCCAACACCCTCACACAAACATACATAAAGACAAAATACCAATGCACACAAAGTAAAAATAAATTATTTTTTAAAAATTCAATAGGGGATCAATAGGTAAAGATATGTGCCAACAAGCCTGACAACCTGTATTTGATGCCTGAAACCCACAAGGTGAAGCACAATCCTAACTAGTCTTACCAATGAAAACCCAGAGTCAAATCAAGGGCGAAAGCTCAAAGTCCAGAGAGGCCACATTCACTTCTTACCTCTCCAAATCCTCTGGCCAAATGCGGGAAGATCCCGTCCGTATGAATCCTCAGACTGAACATGCCCAAGAGCCTGTCTGCACCTACCTTATATGTCTGTCTCCACCTCTCTAGTGCTGGGATTAAAGGCCTGAGCCCCCCCAGGGGCTGGGATCAAAGGCTTGAGCCTCCCATGTTCTGGTATTAAAGTTGTATGCCACCACTGCCTGGCCTCTATGGTTAACTAGTGGCTAGTTCTGCCCTCTAATCTCCAGGTAAGCTTTATTTGTGAGAACACAAACAAATTATCACACATTTCCCCATTTTTGTCTAAACAAAAAGTAAAGGTTTTAACTAACATAAAATAACTATATACAATAAGTACAGTAACAGTGCAAATATATACAGGCAATAATTATATTAATAATGTCTAGTCTATTGGCATTTGACAAACTCAGGGAAAATACTCCATTATCTTCTTGGTGAGTCCAAAATGTTGTACCTAAATCACTTTCTATCTTAACTTGCATTACCAACCCAAAGCTGTCTTTTTGTTTTGTTTTGTTTTTTGAGACAGGGTTTATCCATATAGTTTTGGTGCCTGTCCTGGATCTTGCTTTGTAGACCAGGCTGGCCTTGAATTCACATAGATCCACCTGGCTCTGCCTCCCGAGTGCTGGATTAAAGGAGTGTTCCACCACAGCCTGGCAAAGCTATCTTTTTATGTCTTTCAACCTTATATAGTTTACACCTCTTTTGTGAGTTTTTTTTTTCTCCTTAATCTGGTAAAACTATAACTTAAACTATCTGGTCTTCAACTCCATCAGAGACCTGAGAAGGATATAATGTTACCTGAGTAAACAGGAAGTATACTGCAAACAACTTCCAAAAATAAGAAATGACAGAAACAGGGGCTGGAGAGATGGCTCAGAGGTTAAGAGCACTGGCTGTTCTTCCAGAGGTCCTGAGTTCAATTCCCAGCAACCACATGGTGGCTCACAACCATCTGTAATGAGATCTGGCACCCTCTTCTGGCCTGAAGGGATATATGCAAGCAGAAGCAGAACACTGTATATATAATAAATAAATAAATCTTTAAAAAAAAAAAAAGAAAGAAATGACAGAAACAGCTGGCTGCCTGGACAGTCACCCAAGGTTCCTCTGTAATTCTGGGGCATCCATCTTTGGCCTACAAGCCTAGAATATCTGACAGACTTTTCTGTAAAGCAGGATATTTGAAGGACTGTCCCACCTTGTCTTGGCAAGTTCTGCAGTCATTTTTCTTTTTTGTCCTGCTTGTCCAATTTGGACAGCATACTGTCAGCAGTTGAAGCAAAAGCATTTTCTTGCCCAGTGGTTAACTTTTGCCACAAAGAAAGGAAACTCCATATGGAGTTTCTTCAATGCCCATCACCATGTAGATTGGTGATGCCAGGAGCAGACATGTCTCATTGTCATAAAAAAAGAACTTACGTGATTAAAACATCTTAAATGGCATATTCTGTAGATCTCTGAAGTGTTTCAAGACCACCTGTCCATCTAAAATATATCTGTTTGACCTTAAAAGCATGCCTAACATGACTACAAGTTTGATTGTTATAGGTGACTACTAACCTGCATTTCTTTATTAAACAGACCTAACATGACTACAAGTTTGATTGTAATAGACTACTAAGTACTAACCTGCATTTCTTTATTAAGCATACCTAATGTGACTACAAGTTTGATTGTAACAGGTGACTAGCTACTAACCTGCATTTCTTTATTATCTTAAATACTTTGTAATAATAACTTTCAAGGACTGGAAATTTACATTACATTATAAAATGAGCTGTATAGGTACAATACCTTGAATAACAGTAGAAACATATGCACAGGACTTTCTAACTAAACCTTAAATTTGTATCAATTTACAAAAAATCCATATCAATGTAAAATATTTAAAATTAGTAATATTTTGGTTTAAAACGAGATTTAATAATCTACCTTTTTAATCTTATCATTTCTATAACATAGCCAGGTGGTGGTGGTGCACGCATTTAATCCCAGCACTTAGGAGGCAGAGCCAGTCAGATCTCTGTGATTTCGAAGCCAGCCTGGTCTACAGAGTAAGATCCAGGACAGGCACCAAAACTACATGGAGAAACCCTGTCTTCATGGAAAACAAACACACAAAAAATCAAATTTGTATCAATATATAAAAATCCAAGCCAATGTAAAATATTTGAAACTAGTAATTACTTTTTAAAGTAGATACAATAATCTACCTTTTATCCTATGTCTATATCTACCATTTTTTTCTTTTTAGAACAAGATCCCTGAATCTAATCTCTTTTGTTCAGGTTTTTTCCTGATCATTACCAATAACAGCCTGTAACCAACCCATTACCAATAACAACTTGTAACCAACCCCCCTAAATGCTGACAAACATCTATACCCACTAAACAACCAAAAACCATCCACCCTACCTCTTGGGAATGTGGGCAATGTGTTCTTAAAATTATAACCTGCTGTCTGGGGGTGACAGCATCTTTAGGGAACCCTGAAAAAAATGGGATAATTGTCAAGTCCTGGGATAGTTAGGTACATCATTGGTTGTCCAGTCTTTGTGTAATGGGAATGTGCAGGGCTTGTCTCAAGTCCTGGATATAGCAGTCAGTGAGGCTGGATCATCTCAGCCAGCCACCTTGAAATTGTCCTGAGCAGTTTATAGTCCAAAGCTAATCTTTAGGTGGTGTTTGTCAGGTTAGTGGCATTACCATAGTCCAGGTGGAATCGTGATTGTGAGGCCCCATCATCTTTTTGGAAACTTCAGAGATTGCTGTTAGGAAGTTTATCATTCACTGAAGAAAACTTAAATATCATTAATATCAAAACAAAAAGTTTAAATTTTAAGATAGTACTACACCTAAAGAAATGTTTTAGGGGGCTGGAGAGATTGCTCAGTGGTTAAGAGCACTGGCTGCTCTTCCAGAGGACCTGAGTTCAATTCCCAGCAACCACATGGCAGTTCACAACTGTCTATAACTCCAGTTCCAAGGGATCCAACACCCTCACACTGATAGACATGCAGGCAAAACACCAATGCACATTAGATAAATAAATAAGTAAATAAACATTTAAAAAAAAGAAATGTTTTAAAGAGACAAAATAAAACCAAAGGATCATGAGATTAGTGGCAATAGAATAGTCTTTTTTTTTTTTTTTCTTTCCGTCTTTTGAGACAGGGTTTCTCTGTGTATCTTTGTGCCTTTCCTGGAACTCACTCTGTAGCCCAGGCTGGCCTCAAACTCACGGAGATCCGTCTGCCTCTGCCTCCCGAGTGCTGGGATTAAAGGCGTGTGCTACCACCGCCCGGCTAGAATAGTCCTTTAATTTTGGTCTTTCTTCTGTCACATATCAGGTGGCTGTTCTGACATGAGACAGAAATTTTGGATTTTACTTTTAACAAGCATGCTTGGCTTTAGAGAAGGAGAGAGCCATGCTCCAACTCCAAAACCAGCTTCAATTTTTAATTGACCTGGAACTACAAAAAGACCATTTGCATTATGTGTCTGTAGAGAACAGCAGGAACAAACATTTGGGAAGTTTTATGAAATTTTATACTGTTGAAGATGTGATATACCAATAAGCCCGTTTATTCTTTTTCTTGGGACATTTTTTCTGGATGATTTGTCCTTTTTCTTCATATGTCTCATTTGTTCATTGGTCTTCAGATTCCTTAGTTGGTTGCCTTCATTTTTTTCTGGAAGGACAAAAACAAAACCTTGCCCCAACCCTAATTTTTGGGAGTGTTGCTTAATCCTAATGGCTGTCCTGGGGGAGGAGGTGAGAAGGCACAGCATCAATGGCACAGACACGGGGGTGTCAGTTGAAGGCAAACAGTAAACTAATTCATTTAATAATGGGGAAGGACTTATATACCCTCCTCCCAGCACCCAGTCTGTGTCACAGTCTTGTGGCATTGCATGGTAATCCCTCATTGGCTGATCACAATCAGGAACTCTTAGAGTGACCAGGATCTCTGACAGCACCTGTTGCTAGGCCCTCAGGCAGACTTCAGGTTGGCTCATAAGGAAGTATGTTATGTGCATGCCTTGGCAACTGGTTTGAGCCAATTTCCTGGACCCTATGGGCCTGACCTACTACAGAGGAGGTTCCCTTTTGGCAAGTTATATCTGATCAAATGAAAAGTATTTGTTAGTCTTATAAGTTAGTTTAGATTGAATGGTCACACTGTTTGATGAACTATCACTTCTTTTCATCAAGAGGTCTCTCTTGTTCAAATCTAATCTTTATCAATTTTGATGGTATCCATAGCTTCTCTCCTGTCAAAACAAAAGCAAAACTTTCCCCCCAGTGTAACACATATTCTAGTTTCCATTCTGAGGTCAGTGCATCTTTAAAGTATACAGGCTGATTTTAATTCAGAAGTTTTTTTCTATTATCCAATGTCTCTCCTCAGCTGT